CCCCCCCCCCAATACACACAAGACACTTCTACACCAGCATGGCTCTGTTGATTTTTATATTGTTAACACACATGATTATCAATGATGTCGATCGATATCACCCAGCGAGCCAGCAAGTCAGCAAGCCAGCTCGTAACACATACATGTTACATGGGAGCATGTACATGTCAGTACGCTGGCGTATATCGTGGGTTATTCGTGTGTTCGTGAGTCGTATGGCGTATGTCGTTGGCGGAGGTATGCACTTTCCGTGAGTGCACTCTGTTTAGTTTATCATGTATTCAGACTTACTTTGCTTTGAAGGCGTGCCCAACTCTGTCACCATAGTTTCCTTCACACAGTTTCAGCTTAGTTACGGATAATTCACTGAGTAGTTGTTCCTCTGGGATTGTGTGAATGCCAACCTTTTCAGCAAACTGGTTTGCTCCCTCTCCAACCAGCAGACAGTGATGTGTCTGCAAATAATTATTATTTTTCATTAGAATACATACAGGATTAAAATGAACATTCAAATGCATATAAATGTAAAATCTGCATGTGGATGAGCAATGTTTAATTATTTGCGCTTATGCATAGAGTATAATAGCATTTAAATTTGAAGTCGTTTCTCTATTTGGTGTCAGTTTCTCAGCAATAGGGACTTGCATGACCTTGAATCCTTTTAGGTTCTCATTTCTATGTAAACTGATCTCTCTTGCAGAAATACGCAAACATGCCGTTATGCCTGTACTAACTCTGGGTAACCATTGCCGAAGGGGAAGTATATCTCGCCTTGCCCTTGGCCTACTTGCAGCACAATAGATTATTTTACCTTTGGACATCTGCCCAATGTATTTTTTACATTTATATAATCATAAATAAAACCACATAATTTACTATCGGCTTTCTAACAACGAAAACAGGCCTGCTATGACATCAACGATATATAGATGAATTAATAATATAAATGCCAATAGGCAACTGTATGTAAACGCAAAGCAGCTAGACTAGATATATCAGACATATCCTAAAGTCAATGTCACAAGCACGTGCATAGGCAGCTAGCTTTACAAGAAGTCATTCTTAGTTAAAGTAGGTTCGGCAATGAAACAATAATCTGTGGCAACCGTTGGATTGTTTATAAAGACTGACACCAACCAAATGCATAGGTGCGCACTTCCGCCGGGGCTTGCTAAATTTGTAAAATGTTTGCAGTTTCAGATTCAAGTCATATGATTACCCACACCATAGTGGTTTAAAATCACCTGATTTCAAGAATTCCCAATGCTATTTTAGAACGCGGGGCTGAGTCACTCGTTGGCAAAAACCGTAAATGTTAGCTAAAGGTTGTGGTTTAAAATCATAAACACACAATAGGTTGTTATTCAAGACTCCAGTTCAACCAAACAGAACTCCCTTTCCAAGAACTACGACTCACTTCTTTATTTAGATTTTCAGACGTACACCAGGCTGTACTTGCCAGAGGCCACCTGCTACACAAAATTTACTGTAACACTGGTAAAATGCAATGCAATGATTAGAAATATAGTGCCAAGAGTACATAATAGAGATGTAATAGAGACATGTCGAGACATAATAAGAGACATAATGAGACATGTAGAGACATGTAGAGACATGTAGAGACATGTAGAGACATAATGTAGAGACATAATAGAGATCTCTATTATGTACTCTTGATAGTGCTCAACAAAAAATGCCAAGCAAGCTTCATGAATATAAACAATTCATTTGTGTGAGTACACACATAGCTTATAGCACCCCCATTCATTCACTCAGTCACAGACGCTAACTTCCTATTACTCATTACACGCTCACTTGTTCACAGAATTGCTTCCTCTCACTCACCTTCCCTCATTTCCTCTCCACATTCTCTCCTTACTTGCACACTCAGCCATTCAGGCGCTCACGCACATTCCAGCACGAGATCACTCACGTGCTCACTCACTTACTGTTATGAATACAAACTAAAATACATTTCGAATACAAACTAACATACGTTTTCCATGACCTTCCTAGCAAGTGTGACTGGATTCTTGATGTTTCGGACACACGCTACGCCGCCGGAGTTGAGTGTTGCTCCGTCCATGATCACAGCATCCATCTCTATATGGCCACTTGAATTCAGCACTGAGCCCGTGCCTGCGCAAGATTGCGAAAGTTCGCATTGTTTTACACATTCATTGCAAATTACAAAACAGAGGAATTCACTTGCTGACACAATGACTTGAATTAGCGCTGACAATGTCAAGGCAAAAGACATGAAAGAATACAGAGATGAAAGCAATTAAGATTAGTTAAATGGCAAGTACAACGAGCATATATAATTATCTACCTGATATTCTTGTCTGAAAAATTTGAATTTAATTGTGGAGTATGACGTACAACAGATTTGCCCATAAAATTGTATGCATAAACAGGGACCGAAGTATAGCAACCACTAGTTCCACGATTTCCCATCATATAATTCATAACACGTACACAATACAGTTTAGTTGGCAGACAAAGCACTCAAACGGGATCGAGCAAAAGTGTAAAACCCTGTGATGCACACAAACATGCACTACCTGGTTATTTTAGGCAGGAAAAATGCAAAATCCTTGCATCGGCTAATATCATGTTACGCGGATAGAACTTTCCTACCCTATAACGTCAAGAGCTGTATCAGCGGTGGAGTTTGTTATTGAGGAGAACAAAAACTACAACCACGATCAACATTAAGAGGTACAGTGAGCAGTTGGCAGAGACTTAATTACAAACATTCAAGCTCCATGTACAAAAGAAGAATGATCAATTACATAAAGTGGAGAATATATAACTAAAAGGTAGAAGGAAATTATATATTCCTGCAGTGAAAGAAAATTCTTTTTGCTGGAAATCTAATGAAAGTGTCAATGACACGTACGTACTGTAGCTCACCTTGGGTGTGACAGAAGAGGGAGGGGGGATATATAAAGCAAGAGTATATATATGGGAGAACTCCCATTATATACTCTTGATAATATATGCATAGGTTTTGATGCGAAAATAAATGTTTCAGATCTGAAAGTCTGAAATCTGGGCGAGAGATGGTGCTACGCCTTAAATGATCGCCATTTTGGTTTTTGATTTATATCGCGCAAATAAAAGCAATAAAATATTCCAGTCAAATTAGAAAGAATCTAAAACACAATATTACATGTAGGTATGATTAGGTACCGTAGGTAAGTAAATTTAACAAAATCGAATGAATCTAGATGGCCATTTCCATTTTTGCCAAAAAGTGGACGTGGTGGCTCAAATGTAGGTCAACTGGCGTGCTCCAAAATAAGAAGTTCAAATCTCTCCCATATGAGTAACAAGATAACAACTGTATTCAATTTGAAACATGTGGGTCAAACGGTTCTTGAGTTATTGTTGATCGTAGGCAGACACTAAAATGCATAGTGAAATTGCCAAAATCTACCTAATTTGCATAATTTAATAAACTATCAAAACCCGTGTGACGTTTTGGGGCCAGTCCTTATTCATTCACATACTAGAAATTAGCAAAATCCGTTGTTCAAACCTGAACTGACTTGTGGCCATTTCCATTTTTGCCAAAAAGTGGACGTGGTGGCTCGAATGTAGGTCAACTGGCATGCTCCATAGGACGTTAAAACCTCTCCCATAAGAGTAACAACTATATGCAATTTGAAACATGTGGGTCAAACGGTTCTTGAGTTATCGATGACCGTAGCCAAATGTTGACGGACGGACGGACGGACAGACAGACGTACGACGGACGACACCCCATGGCAATAGCTCATCTTAACGATGTCAAGGCGAGTATAAAAACCGTAAGTCAGACAATTGCAGTCCATTGCCGATAGCTTCTTTACTTTACACAGAGAGAAAGATTTCAATTTTGTACCTGCATCGAAGATGGGGTCATCTTCCAGCGAACAGACTGCAGCTTCTGCTGCATCGATGGCATTTCCAGTCTCCTCCAGTCTCTTCCATCCAACAATAGCAGCATGCTTTGCACCGTCCGCACGGGCATCACGTTGGAAACTGATCCCACTCCATGCACCACCATGCACGATCACAATCGGGGTTGTCGACCTTGATTCTTGCATACTTTTCAGTATCAACTGCAACAAATGAGTTCACCAGTCAAATAAGGAGAAGTCGATAAGTCAAGTTTACGCCTCGTGTTTCCCCCTCGTCTGAATAAAATAGTTAAATACGAGTGATTTAATTGTACGAAACAAAGAAATCAACGCTGACACATTCATTTATATAAAAAACTTTATATTTTATATGATTAATATTATATTTAATCAAGATAATTAGATTCACCCTGAACCTAATAACAATTTTTCAAACACACCCAAATATAAAATCGCTTCAGATAGTTTCTCTCTCCTTCTTATTCGATAATAAGAATGATCCACCCAACGGTGGCACCAGAGATTGCCACCAGGGGAGGCAAAAAGTCCCCGATGGAGGATGGGGTACTAAGGTCCTTCACAGGGGTAGGGCTGGGTTATGCCCAAATTGCAAGTGCAGGGGCGTGTACAGGATTTGTACCAGGGGGATCTAACCATAACCCAAACTTGCGAGCACGCGAAGGGGGGGCTGGGGGGCCCTCCCCCAGAATTTTTTTGAAATTAGACCCCCTTATAGATGCGTTTTCTGCGCGAGCAGGGGGGGTCCCGGACCCCCTGGACCCCTCCCCCTGTACACGCCCCTGAAGTGGGGCCAAAAGATATTTAAATTAGGGATCTTATTTTTTTCAAAGTTTCAAGGTTTAAAATGATATCTTTCACATTTTTAACAGATTATAATTGCCATATATATATCTAAAATTATTGATATATCGAATCACAAATTACTGAGACTAGCACAGCGGCACAGATGAAGAGTAGCTATGTTTTTTTATAGATTCCCCTGACAGGGTAGTAGTCTCCTGAACCCCCCCCCCCGGCACAACATCTGAACCTACCGAAAGGTTACTGGGTCATAATATTTCCTTTCACTTCCACACAGGCTTATACAGTTATATCAGGAGTAGATAACAGGGAAGGAGTGTGACTTCAATAAACAAGGGAAATTCGTCATTTACTAGCCTTATAATACCTACGATTTACTACGCGTAACTCATCCAACTTGAGCTCAAATCGTACACAGACTCAGTACATTCGCCTAGCATCGTGCGAAATCGTTTCCTCGTATACACCCGCAATCCGGAGATATAGCTAGATCGACTAAAACGTACGACACGATTTTCCGTTCTGCTGCCAGCAAACTCAATGCGTTTTCCGCCGAAATTTAAACAAAAGGCAGCTACTAACCACAGCTTGCTCTCTCGGCGAGGCGGTGTGGCTCGCAGGGAGATTGGACATCGACGCAACACTCGGCGAGATAACCTTTGACCCGGCATACAGTATACATACCGGCACCGGCATGCCGGCATACAGCTGGTATGCCCCTAGATACAATAATGTAACCCCAACACAGGATAGGGTTACAATTAACGCGTCCCTATCCTTTTGTGTGGAGAAACCCCTGAGTGAATCACGCAGGGCGGTTTGCTGGTGCGTTTTCAGAGACTAGAACTTCCAAACGGCGCAAATCCACTTTAGGCACTTTAGGTATCACGAAGTGATGCACAGATTTCTGTGTATCATCAACTGATGCACAGATTTCTGTGTATCATCAACTGATGCACAGACTTTCCGTATATCAAGGAATGATGCAAAAACCCTAACCCTAACCCTAAGTCGGATAGGGGTTTTGCATCATTCCTTGATATACGGAAAGTCTGTGCATCAGTTAATTGATGATACACAGAAATCTATGCATCACTTCATGATACCTAAGGTGCCTAAAGTGGATTTGCACCCCACGAAGGTGAGTGATTAGTGGTCATAATATGCTGAGGGACGTATACACGTACTTCTTTATTGGTGGCAAATTTTGAAGAGAAAAATCGGTTAAAAATGCGGGAATCGGGTGTCTCACTCTTGTGTTATTATCTACTCTTGACTATAGTAATACTAATAGTGTACTGATTACGCTCTGATTACTGTATCGCCCTCTATCTCTATACTATAGCTCTAGTACTATAGCCCGCGGATAGCTCCCGCAGGTACCGTATCCGCGGCAGCTATCCGCGGTACCTGCGCCCTGCGGCAGCTATCCGCGGGCTATAGACTAGTACTAGAGCTATCTCTATACTTACTAGCAAACTCTACGTTGATGTGAATAGATATCCCTGTCGCCTGTACCTGTAGTTGCGCAATACCTTCCACGTGCAGCGTTGGAAATTCTCTGTGTTCCAAAATAATGGACCGTCTCTGACAAGCGATCGCACTCCAACTGACGCTCACGATTGCGATGTTGCAAGTGCAGGCAAGGCCGTTACCGTCAGAGAGCTCAACCGGAGATCGCGGTTAGCCAATCACCGTGTACGCCTACGCCAACTCCTACGCGAACCGCAAACAAAGCATGCGCGGGAGCGTGAGGGGGCGGGGGAAGGGAAGGAAGCACGTACTGATCTCTATAGTGGAAGGAAGGAGGTAACCTGTATCAAGAGCTTGCCTGTATCATGCTACAGGCGGTTCCGCTTCCGCTTCACTACACTACACATATCTATGACTACACTAAGGTTAGTGTTCTAGCCGGCCGAGCCGGTATTTTTTTCAAGCACACATTTTCGTTATGCACAGGCCGGATCTACAATTATTGCAATCCCGAGCATATATAATGATCTGAAATCACATATAGGTTATGTATACACGCATATGACTACATGACGTTGTATTCATGTTTATAAACATTGACGTCATATGCGCGCTCATGCACGCACGTGTACGTGCACACGCACGCATGCACGCACGTGTACGTGCACACGCACGCATGCACGCAC